AGAAATTAATTAGAAATGCCTGTCCACTCACTATAAAAGATGACAGGTACTTCAGATAACGATATTCAAGCAGTGATTCAGGTGCCCTAGCAGAGGCATCTTGTGCCATTCAGGGTGACTGACCTAGGGCATCACTGACATCAGTACAGGGTTGATAAACATGACACAGACCCTACAAGACACCTGCAGGATCCCTTAACGTATCTGAACGAGCACCACGCACCTGTGTTTAGGCAGTTATTTCTGCCTTTTAGTAGAGATGCCTACACTCTAGATGGTAAGAATTTCGTAAGGGGTGCGTGAAACTTAGGGGTTGAAGTGTAAGCTACTCATGGATATTGGATTGTATTCTTAGATATAAATACTGGATATGCAAGCTCTGAGCTAGCCATCTTGTCTCCCTTCAGATTCAGTGGATATAAAGAGTAGCTTTGACCTATGTGGTGTGTGGTCCAGCAGAACAGACCAGAGAAGACTGTTTCTCACCAATGGCCATAAAGGGAGCCCAGGGAACCAGCATAGCCTAGAGGCTGAACTTTTAGATGTAAAGCTAGGTCTTGTGAACCCTGGTTTCAGCCACCTTTCTGTTGACACAGTGAAACAATGCAATGGATTGAGTATCTCACACTGCTTTAGGTATATAATAGGAACTGTTAGGAAGGAAGAAGGAGGAAGAACTATTGTAGTGTAAAATGTAAAATGAAGGAGGGCAGTGAGGACTGGGAAAGGTGCGATTGGCACAATTGGCAATATAGGGTAGCAGCAGCTAAGGACGGCAGAACGGGCACCTTTTCTGTGGAGTGGTTATTAGAAAACAACAGCATGCTAGGCTTAGATTATTAGGATTATTAGGTGGCACAGTAAGTAGTGAGGAATATTAGTGTGGTGGGCTAGGGGGCCAAACTCCCACCCAGCAGCTCGCCCACTTCCCCACCCTCAGTGGGATGGGAGGGGAAGAAAATAGGATGAGAAAGCTCATGGGTCAAGAAAAACACAGGAAGATGGCTTATCAATTAACACTGTGGGCAAAACAGGCTCAGACTGGGGAAAGTGAATTAATTTATTGCCAATTAAAATAGATTCAGGTAGTGAGAAACAAACATAAGCATTAAAACACCACATTCCATCCCTACTTTCCCAGGCTCAACTTCACTTCTTCACTGCAGGGTCCTCTACTCCCAGTCTCAAGCAGTCCTTGGGAGCTGGCGGGGGGTAAGGTCAGTGCATAGCAGCTTCACTCTGCCACTCTTCCCCTCTCACTTTTCCTCTTCTCTGGCATGGGTCCTCCATGGGCTGCAGTTCTTCAGGAATAGCCGTCTGCTCTGATGTGGTTCCTCCATGGGTTACAGGGAATATCGGCTTGGGCACTATGGACCAACTCATCCTCCATCTCTGATCTTGGTATTCACTCTGTTCTTTCTCACTCTTTTTGTTCATCACTTTTCTCTCTGTCTGGCATTTTCTGCCCTTTCTGGAACATGTTTTCACAGATGTGCCACCAGATTGGCTGATGGGCTCATCTGTGTCCTGCAGCGGATCCATTGTGGAGCACAGGGCAGCCCCTGGCCCCTCCTCACAGAGGTCACCTTGCAACCCCTGCTACCAAAACCTTGACATGTATATCCAATACTGTTAAGAAGAACAGTGATCTAAAGGGAATATAGAAGCAAATTTAGTTTAAATTAATATTTCTCATACTAATTTTACTATACCTAAGGAGATCACAGGTCAGCTTTCTAAGTTTATGACTCATACCTAGGATACCTAGGTGGGCCCGGGACTCAAGGCTGGGGCTGGATACACTGCTCTTGCTGCCGCTGGCTGTGCGGCTCAATATGGTAATTACACAACACGTTTCACCCCTTGTTCAGAGAGTGAGAGAGGCTTGGGCCAGCAGGCAGACCTGAGGTGGAAGAAATGGTGTTTCTTACCTCATGGTGAATAAACATTTTTTAAAAACCCAAAGCCTTGACTAAGTGTGCCTTTTAACTGAGGACTAACTCCATGGAGCCCTTACTGGAAGGATGGGGAGGGACTCTTTGTCAGGGAGTATAATGATAGGATGAAGGGTAATAGCTTTAAACTGAAAAAGGGTATATTTAGATCAGATATAAGGAAGAAATTCTTCACTATGAGGGTGGTGAGGCACTGGAACAGGTTGCCTAGAGAACTTGTGGATGCCCCCTCCCTGGAAGTGTTCAAAGCCGGGTTGGATGGGGCTTTGAGCAACCTGGTCTTGTGGAAGGTGTTCCTGCCCATGGCAGGCGGGTTGGAACTAGATGGTCTTTAAGATCCCTTCCAACCCAAACCATTCTATGATTCTATGGTCTTTCTAGAGCCCTTGGAAAGAAATAAGCACTTCCAAAGAGTGACATGCCCATCCTAACTGAGTCACATATCTGGGAACGAGATAAATCACATAGGGAACAGGTGTTTGTGGCTTTCCACTGACTTTTGAGGAAATCCACATTCCTGGCATTGGCACAGCTTTTCTTTCTCAGGTGGCTAAACTTAGCAGAAAAGGTGGCCACCCTGGCACCTTTAGTACTCAGGTTCCTCCTGATCCCCAACTAATTGGTGAAGAGTGTTAAAGGAGCAGCCACTGTCCAAACATTCACACACCATTCAGGGAGTTGCACACACACACAGCACTTTAACTGCTAGGACCAGAGTCCTTTCACAGTGGGCAGCTCCACTGAGCTGACAGGTGCCCCTTTTCAACTCCCTACACACACTCATTCACTCTCAGGCACATTCTCTCCCCTCAGCCTTGATCCTAGGTTTCCCTGAGAGCAGAGTCTCTGACAAAGTGTACATCAGCTGAGTTTATTGAGTGGTACAGCGGTAAATGACAGTTTGAGCTGGGTGCCTCCAGAGAGGGACCCTGTGTTGTCTCAGAAAGGTAGTTTGTTACGCAGTGTGTGACAATCCAGTCCACACACTGAGTTGAGATATCTGGTTTATTTCATTTCTGTGCAGAGGTGGGTGCTAGGCAGTAAATCAACAAAGCTAGCACCTCAAATGAGACTTTCTGTGTTATATTTATATACAAAATGTTATATTTATATACAAAACTTAGAGTTATTAATCATTCTTTTTACGATGATTGGTTAGTAATCACCATCCTATCTGCTATTGGTCAACTATATTCTAATTAGTCTCACTATGTAAATTAGCACACATGCTCCTTGGGGCGGGGTGGGGGGGGAATCTTTTTGGTCCTAAATTGAGTTGGTGGTCGCGATCTCCCCCTGCTGGAATTACCTTTCCCCTAGTTACTGTTTTTTGGCAATCATCCAGTTTTTCCGGCACCTTCTGGGGTAGGATATTCCCTTTCATCTGTTTCTCAGTACCTTCCTCAAGGTCTAGTTGCTCTGGGACGTCTTTGGTTAAAGGAGACTGAATGTTCTTCTGATTAGGGATGATTAGTGTCCTTTACTTGCCAGCTTACAAAAACATCTTGGCCTGATATGATGTTAGCTAAGTTTCAGAGTTAGCCTTCAACACCTGAACAAAGAAATCCCTGCACAATTATACCCTTACAATTTAAGTTCCCCTCCCTTCACGCAACGGTTCGGTCCAATAGCAGTATTTGGGTCTGGGGTCTTCTTGTTCCTCATTGGATCTTTTCTCTGTCTCTAGGCAGGACATTCCTTTTCTTATCTTAATGGATACATCTTCTGCTGACAGTTGTGCCTACCTTATCTTTCTGGTTTGCACTGGTTTCGGAGGCCTTCCTTCATGTAGCTAAGTAAAAGTTCAGTATACAGTCAGCATATCTAGGTGAAAGTTCACAGCTTGCAGCCTAGGGCTTCAGCAAGTCTTGCTACTAATGCTATGTATTGGATTCCATTTGAGCTAGGAAGTGACTTCTACAACAAGGGGCAGTGGCACTACCAATGGGTTTAGAATGAGGAGTTCCCTATCTCTGTCCACAAGGGACCCAAAACACCTGCCACAGATTGCATTACAAACTTTTAGCTGTCAAATTTAGGTGAGGTTTGACCCATGTTGTACTATAGCAAGCAAAGGTTCTTGTCAGTTTACTTTAGACATGGAAGTGATGCCTGAAAGTCTAACTCATACCGTCAATCTTCAGATGAGATTAATGCTCTCTTCTTGGCAAAGCCCTTTTCTTTCCATGAACTTCAAAGATAGCTCTAGCTACTGTCATGAAAACAGACACCAACCTTTAATTTTCAGATTCCTCTCTATAACAGTATGGATGTCTTTATCATCTTTGTCCCAAGTGAAGCATTGCCAGCATCCACACTGCTAAAGGTGGCTCCTAAGGAAGCAGTACCCAACCTCTGGACTTGTGGTGCAGCCTGACTCTCACATACACTGCAGCAAGCACCCTCTGGCATGGGCAAGCAGAGCACAAGCATCCCATGACACAGGAGAAGCACTGGGATATCCATGACATCTTCACAAGGTAGGCAGAAATGACCTGTGCCCTAGGAGAGACCCACATGCTTTCAGAGCAGTAGTAGGCACAGTCCAGGGAAGCACCCCCACATCACCTAAAGGACACTGCATGTCTACATTCAGGCAGATGAA